GCACTCGGTAAAGGCTTTGCCGAGTGTAGCACTCGACAAAGTCCGCTCGGCAAAAAATTTCTCGGCAAAGGGTCTTTGCCGAGTGTTTTTTATCGGGGCACTCGGCAAAATAAAATAAAAAATTTGCCGAGTGCTTGGGAGGCACTCGGCAAAATATTTTCGGCCGTTATGACGCCAAATAGATTATCAGTTATTTTGCCGAGTGGCCGACCCAAAGACTCGGCAAAATTTTTGATTACTTTGCTGAAAGTGCCCCAGCCTGCACTCTTCGGCAAAGTTTTTTTTTTATTTTTTAAAATTACTTTGCCGAGTGCCCTGCCCTGGACACTTCGGCAAAGTTTTTTTTATTTTTTTTAAATAATTTCTTTGCCGAGTGCCCCTGTTTAGGCACTCGGCAAAGAATTTCTGAATTTTTTTTAAAAAAATACTTTGCCGAGTGCCACGGCTAGGCACTCGGCAAAGAAATTATATATTTTTTTTTTTGAAAAATCTTTGCCGAGTGCCTTGCCCGTGGCACTCGGCAAAGACCCCGAGAATTGCAAAAAAAAAATTACATTCCATTGCAACAGTCTGGATTCCCACCACAAAAGCAACCACTTGTTTGCACGTCAAGTACGCCAGGGCAAGCACACAATTGTAACTAGAAACTAGTTGTTGCAGGCTTGCAGTTGCAGGTGACCTGGTCCAGCGGCAATGTCTTCCGATGGCGACAGGAGACAGCATAGCAACACCCTGACCCTGACCAGTAGACTGACCATTTGGCAACATGTACATTTTCATCACTACAAATGGTGCCAGACCGCTATTCGCGACACAAAGCTTGATGGATTAAGAGCTATTTAGCCCAGGCCATCCCATCATGACAATGGACAATGGCCTGCAGCAAGGGGCATCCAATCCAATAAAACAAAGTTCGAATTCCAGATACCAAGCAAACAGAGCGCAACGGAAAGGATGAAAGTGACTAAAGTCAATGAAATCCAAGACGCAAATCAGTAAAAGTTGGGGGGGTTGAAGATCTATCCAGTTACAAGAGATGTGCTCACGTATGTGTAAAGCAAACCCAAGTGTTAACATTCAAGACAAAGCAAAGCCAGTGCCCTCTTTACATTCTTATATCACATCAACTGTGATCAACGGACCATAACCTCTCCACCCCCCAAAAAAAGTTTTCAGGATAAGACAACAATAAAGACAAAGAAAACAAAAAGTGAAAAGCTATGATCAATGTTTTTCAAAGGACTGCTACAAAAAGACATAAAGCTGAAACAATCAGCATGATTTTAATCAGAACATTTGAGTTGTCAAGAACTTACTGTACAACATAAGCATCAGCAGGGGGCATGGAATAAAGCTTAACTAGGCCTACAATAGCTAGAGAGGATCAGAATCTTGCATTCATGAATCAGATCAACTTTTGATATTTGGACAGAAGCATCATCCAAATAAATAACTTAGTCAGTGAAAAGGCTACAGTCAACCAAGATTCTCCTAGCACAGAACAAAACATAATGGACAGTTGGCACTAGAATAAAACTTTAGCACGCTACTAAAGAACTAAACACAATCTTTCTGTCCTAATCAATTCTGTTTAACAGTAGATGGACATCTAATTTAACTAATCCTGCATAAACTGCTGAAGGGGTAATTTGTGACTAATGGTACATCCTCTCTTACAATTCCACAAAGAAAAAGATTGCAGTAAAGACATAATTCTTCCATAAAACAGTTGACGCTCTGTAGTACACACAAAAAATAGTTTCTAATCTATCTAAAAGAGTTGGCACTAGGAATGCATTCCTTGCAACAAATGATTATTTCTCCACAGTACAGAACATAACACCAGAACTGGACACCATCACAATGTCAGTGCGCAATCATAACTGAACTGCAACAACGAAGGACAAGTAGCAAGCCTTATTTCTAGCAAACAGTCAGCTCAACTTAGAAACTAACTACTATACTATCATGTAATTCTAGGAGAAAAGAGCACGGTACTCATTGGCCTCCTGAGCCATTTCATCCATGGTTCTATCTTTCCTCTCAATGTCCAGATCAAGCTTCTCCTTCAGTTCTTTCTCTTTCACATCAATCTATCATAGCAAGGAAAAGGGTAAGCTTTGTTTGATTGGATATTGTAATAAAATAACCAGATTAATAGAAAAATGGGCCACAAACCACGTCATATATTTCATCATTTTTCTCAAAATCCCTTTTCTTCCTCGGGATGAGGTGAATGTGGACATGTGCAACTGCTTGGCCAGCTTGAGGACCATCCTGACAAGTAATATCACTTGTTAATAAGAAACCTCATGGCATCATCATAGAATATAATATAACAAATATAAGTCCATAACAAGCTAATCAATGGTACAAATAGTAAAAGAACAAAATGGAGTTAGCATAGCCTGTATGACATAGTACGAATAGTAATATAACAAATGCAGTAACCCATAAGTCACTAATCTCATCAGAGCTTAGATCAGCGAATCTTTTCACTTCACGCTTGGGGCACACAAGAACATGTATGTGTTGTCAAGGAAAAAATGATGCATATAGAAGAACACATCTTCCTCAACATGTGATGTATTAATCTTTGAGTCAAATAAATTTACTCAGGTGGGTTATGAGTTATGACAGCTTTGCACCAAATGACAACACAACAAAAATGTTTAACAATTCCAATCAGAGAGTCAAAAAAATTGCTTTAATAAAGTCAACTTGAGTTGCAGGCATACAGTTATTCTGCAAGTGGAACTGTTGCATGATATGAAAACAGATAATCATGGCATAGAGTTGTAGATGGTCTCCATGGAAAGATGACCAAATATGAAGTCAGTGGCTCGATAAAACAGAGTCCTCACTAAATGAGTACCTACAGCTAACTTGATCCCCTAGACAGACTAGATAACCAGGTCTAAAAATAAGAGAGCCAATGCAAAGGTTTGTCGAAAAATGCCATCGCTCAGTTTTTCTTTCATATCTGTTTCAGTGCTCTTCATGAACTATACTGAAGTGAGCAATCATTAGACAGTGTCTGCAGAGTGGAAAAAACTGTAAAACTAGCTTCCAAGAAATTACAGTGCCAGCGGCTGAAATAAAAGGATATGACCTGCATAAGAAAGATTCGTATTGTTAAATGCAGTGTCTATGAGAGAGAAAAAAAAGAAAAGAAATGCAATGTGGTGATTTAGAGATATGCAAAGCTTAAATGCAATGTCTAAGGGAAGGACTAGCCAGTAGTCTCAGGTTTCATCAGGAGGAAATCTAGAATGACACTGTTATTAGCTTGTTCTGTAGGCACTAGGCAGGGATTAGATAAAGTACCATGAGATGGCAGGAATTGGGTTGGGTTTCCCAGCCAAAACAGAAGGCAATGCCCATGATCCATTGATCCTTGCCTACTGAAACAATCCCCATTGGTCATGGTGCAGTGGTACACAGTTACCTTGCCGAATACACAAGTTTCATAGAAGCAGGGCATGATTCTGAATACACAAGTTTTATTTAGCGTTTCGGGACCCAACGTTTGATCAATCTAATTTCCATCAACCATATTTTCGCGAGAAAGCTGGGATTTTTATACTTTCCCCCCACTTTCTGTCGCGACGACTAATCTTCCTGTTCCAGCAACTCCCAAGCTAAAAAAAATGCTACGGTACAGTGAGTTCGGGAGTGGCTGCGTCTACAGCAACGAAGCAAGCAAGAACCATCAGAGGTGAAGTGGAAAGGGAGGGAGCATGGGTATGTGTGTGACCCACCCGGGAGCAGCGGGCGGAGATTCACCATGGCGTAGGAGAGGGACGTGGCGTGGAAGACCTCCCTGGCGTCGATCTTGTAGGGCCCGAACTTGTAGGAAGCCTCCATACCCGGCGGCGGGAGCGGGGAAGAGGACGAGGACGAGAGGGCGCGCGGGTGCGGCAGGCGGCCAAGGGATGGGCTGGTGGCGCGGCGCTGCTGCTGCGTGCGGCGCGAGCGCGGCGGCGCACGCGGAGGCGCGCGCGGGCGGGGGGTGGCGCCCGCGAAGGCGCTGCGGGGGCGGGCTGCGCGGAGGCGCGCTGTGGCGGCGGGCAGCGCGGTGGGCGGCGGGCGGCGATGTGGCGGCGGCGCGGCGCGTGCGGGGTCGGGGGCACGGGCGGCTGAAGATAGGGTTTGGAGGGAGGGGTGAGGGTGGGCCGGTTGGGCCATTTAGGCCGCGGGCGTTTTTTTTTTTGGATTTTCTTTGCCGAGTGTTTCTTGGCGGGCACTTTCGGCAAAATTTGTTTTATTTTTTTAAAAAACTTTTGCGAGTGTCATCTTTGGGCACTTTTCGGCATTTTTTTTTATTTTCTGAAAACAAATTTTGCCGAGTGCCTCCTAACTAAGACTTTGCAAAGCGACATTTTAAGAAGTCTTTCATGGCACTTCGGCAAAAATATATATATATTTTGATTTTGGACCTAAATTTTTTGCGTAGCCTTGTGATATTTAAAGCTCTACTCTAAAATTTGGTGAAATTTTGACTTTTTAGGTATATTTCATTAATTTATTTCGTTTACGTTGATTTTTTAGCGTATTTCAAATTTGAGCTACGAGTCCATGGAATAATGGAATTTGGTCATCAAAAATTGATATTCATGATATTTAGTGTATGTTGAGGCCGTGTCGAGGAGTCACATGAAATCTCAAGCATCTCTTTGGCGTAACATGTCGAGTTAGTTAAGGAAAAGTGAATTTAAATTATATAAAATCCAAGCGAAGTCAAGAAAATCACAAAACTTGTGGAGGCGTCGTGTTATCATACGCGTGGAGGCTATAGTAAAAAATTGAGAAGATTTTGAGCAAGTAGTAGCGTCGGATGCCAAAA